CTGCCAACCAGCACCCCCAGGTCCTTCTGGCAAAGCCTTTTTTACTTGCTTCGGGGGAAAAGAAAAATCCACTTGCTTCTGACAGACATATTTGGAGTTGGCAGGAGCCTACCCCAAACCAGAGGTGCTGCCTGCTCCTTGGGCCTGTGGAACAGGTTTTAAGGTAAAAATATGTCATTATTCAGGTGCTGAACATGCACTGCTGTGTTCTGCCTCTGCAGTCTCTCTGTTGGACACTCCGTGCTGTGTTTCTGAGTGGAAGTTGTAGTTGAAATTGGGGCAGATGGGAACTCAAATGAAAAGCTCAAGAAGCGAATGTGTTTGAGGTACAGAATTAAAAATGTCTTTTGCTGTGTATCTGGATCTGGATCTTGCACGAATACTGTGCTGAGCCATTTTGGGAGGACACTTATATGTGTGGTGTTCCCCGGCTGATCACGCTCCTCATGTGGGTTCTGCAGGCTGAGCTCATGGTGTTAAAACAACAACAACCCAAAAAAAGAAAAGGGGAGTGGGGTGGGGAAGGGTGTGCATTTTGTTGAGCTGTTTGATTTGAGACACACATTTGGTGCTCGTGGGTCGGTAGCAGTGGTAAGTGAGGGAGAGTGTTTGACGTGGCATGCACTAATTGTTATTTTTTTAACCTCCTTTATTAAGAGCATCACAGATTTTTCTGACTTTACACTCCAGTAATGCCATCTCTTGACTCTTTTCTTCATTTGGTGGAAGCTGATCACTGTTAAATTTAGGAGCTTTCTCCAGTTTTGCCTCTGAAAGAACATATGGGAGAAATGTATTAAATGAAAAAAGCTTGGGGGAGGAGGTGGCAGAGGTAAACAGGTGTGCTCAGAACCAACTTGGCACCATCTATTTCAGGGATGCTCCTGTAAAAGTGTTGGCAGGCTTAATGGCAGGGAAGAAAAGCATTTCAGCATTTGTAACAAGTCCAAGTTTCAGTACTAACAAATGGCTTAGATCAGAGAAGCACAGAATCTCCTGAGCTGGAAGGGACCCACAGGGATCATCCAGTCCAACCCCTGCCCTGCACAGACACCCCACCCTGTCCCTCAGAGCGTTGTCCAAACGCTCCTGGAGCTCTGGCAGCCTTGGGGCTGTGCCCACTGCCCTGG